TGTTCCACTACATGTTTACCTGTTTAGACTAACTCTATTACTAACAGAGGCATGTGTCTTCCTCACCCTATCAGTAATCAGTACAGCGCCTCTACAGGCGAGAGGTGGGAATCTCTTTCCCTTGTCTTGATTTTATTAACTAATTATGAACCCTAACCAGCTCTGTGAATGAAACAATGTTGAAATGTTTTTTATCGAACTGGTTACAGCTCAATTCTCAAAAATGACCTTGTTTTGTGTGTTGTAGATTAACAGGTTGTCCTGCTGAGGTCTCTGTACTCTTGGCGGCTATAAACAGGAAGTCTTTGGCCTCTTACTCTTTGCCTGCATGGATGTGTGTGTCTGTTTCCTCTGGGCGTTTTAACCTGAGTGTTGTAAGGCTCCGCTGTGGGCTTCTCTCTGCAGTGCTGCCATCTGTTCAGTCCCTTCAACACAAGATAGCTTGCCCTATGTCTCACAGGCTCCATGTACTACATTTCACACAATGTGTGATATATAACTTCAGGCAACATGCTGACTATCCAGAGCAGGTTAAATTTATGGCAGGTTAGCGTTTCAAGTAATACATATTGTAGAAAGATAGGCAAAACATGTTTTTCATTGAAAAACTGCGGGAACTAATAATACTATACGATACAAAACTAATACAAAGGTGCATTCCCATTACAAATCAAATTGAACAGGGCCTTTTTTGCAACCAAAATTGACACATTGCATAGTTCTCAGAGCAAATTTCCATTAGTCAGTGGAATCCAGACAAGATGCAGACGCCTGTCGCCTGTAGAGGTGCTGGGCACAGTAATGACATGAGGCCACAGCTCTGACAATCAGCTACATGGGCTGTTTAGATCTATTCTGTGGCTTTAGGGAGGTAAAATATGGCAACTACATAGCCAGGACAAAAGGAGCCCTGGTGTTGCAAGGCAGACATGTGTTACCAGTTAAAGAGATGGAGGGATTCCCAAATTTAGTCATAAAAATGTCGTAATGTCAAACCGATTAAAGGGGAATCTTATTAAGTTTCATCAGAAAATAAATAAGATGGTCAGTTTTTGTTGTTACGTCTAAAACGGTCATTGTTTGCGGTATTGGGCCAATACTAACATTCATCTGCGCAAATTCCTGTACTGATAATCGTCCAATACTTATAACTATGTGTACTATTATGACCTGCTGACTGTAATTTCCAAAGTAACTAACGCAACATTTTTTAAATTATTATTATTTTTATTTTTTTTACAATTACCAGGTTACCATTTAAACCTCCTTCACATTCCAAAAGCTTCTTACAAAGATTCTTTTAATACTATGTTACAATATGAGGCCTGTAAGAAGACAAAAGCCTTTCTGACCACATGAGAAATTATAATGTACTCCCTGTTCATTATGTTACGCAAAAAATGGGTATTGGTTGGGAATAATGCGTTGGTTTGCTGATAAATTCACAGTTACATGTTGCTAAGTCAGACGCCTCTATTGCGCCTTCTAAAAATGTACCTCTTCATTCAAATGAATCATGGTATTTTTTTATTTTAAAACAGTTTATTTTGTAAGGACTAGACTACAAAACACAAGAAGCTGGAATAGCTACCACACACTGCTTTGTTTGAGTCCTTTTATTCAATGAAAGCCAACTGATCGAAGTGCCACTTCCAGACAGAGTGGCATGTGCTGCTGCCAGCTCGCAATTGGAACAGACACACAGACCTGGAGGAGCAGCCCAGCGGTTAATTGCAATGATTAAGTCACAATCTTTCAAAAGATTTTAATTCAATTGTGGTAATTATAAGGGGATTTGGGAACTGTGGGTCAAGAGTCAGTGAGAGAAAGTGCTGTTCCAACCACTTCCATTTTAGAAAGTCTTTTATTCATATTGTATATATACATTTCACTGAAGTTAAAATTTGAAATGCATTTAAAATAAACAGTCCAATGAGAACAGGCAGAATGCACGACACAAAGTGGAAAGAGCAAATGCTAAACTTCCCCAGCATTGTGAGCGCTACTTTTAGGCAAGATGATTAGTTTTGGCCAATTCTATTGTAGATGGATGAACGAATAAATAGTTCAAGAACTGCATTAACTGATTTGTTAGTGCTCATATGTGCAGTTCTGTTGAAACCTGAAATTCCAAACCATTTTGAAAATGATTCCCTGTATATTTGTTCAGTGAATTTTCTCTGGTAAATTACTGTGAATGTACTTTCCATTATATGCTTCTAAAATGTAAATGATACACACATGTAATCTAATAGACATACATTAGCAGAGGAATTCCATTCCTGGGCAGATCCAGGTTTTCTGAATAGCAAAGATTAGGGAACGTTAGAACTACTGAGAATTGGGCCACAACAGAATAGGACTTTTACATGTTTGATGTCCTAACATTGCTTCCAAACATGTAGGTGGGTACCTAAACTCTAATCAGTTCTTAACCCATTGAGGCCGCGAACGCATTCCCGTGTTTCTACCTTTCAAGCTAGGATCGCTGTTGCGCACTTCTATATTTAAGGCCGGGAAAGCGGACATGTCTTTTTATCTTTTTTTGACCTATACTCTCTTCATTGATCAATTCTCTTGACCAATGAAATGCATCAAGATATACCAGGGATGAGAATTATCTGCAGATCTGCGAATTACGTCTTTTCCTCGCTGAAAATATAATTTCTGTGAAATGTGTGACCGCAGGCTGTTTGCGTTACGTACTTGAACGGGATTCACATCCTTCTTTCTGACCTTCGGAGCAACTGTGGCCGCTTTGACACAGCTCAGCAAACACGCAGCAGTGACGTGGTCATGTACCGCGGACCATAGACGCGCGGACAGAATCATACACGCGCAATCAGGACCATCCCCAGCTTGTTGCACATGCAGGTCTTGCCAGTCTCCCCCGTCTCTCCCCCATGTCTCTTTCCTGTCTCCCCCCAAAGTCTCCTCACAAAGCGCAGCCAAAACTCACTGAATTAAAGTTCAGGTACCTACATTTTTGCTTGCATTGACAATACATGTTATTTGTGCGCAAAAATAAAATGTTGTGAACAAATCAAACAGAACAAACCAAAACAGTTGTGTTTTTTTTTATTTTGCTTACTTAAGAAGAAGCCCTGTGAGTCATTATTTGACTTTTTGGGCTGAGAATGGATTATTTATATATTTTTCCTACATAGTTAGTGCCATTTTATTGCCAAACTCTTTGTGACTTATTGTATTGAGAATCATGTCTCACATTTTTTGTGGCTGTTTTATTACTTTTCTTGTGTGGAAGTTGTATATTTTTTGTTTAATTCTACTGAAGGTTTATAATAATACACTGCATTCGTATTGACAGCCACAAGTCTCAGCTCTCAAATTCTTTTGAAATTATGTTTCTATCTGTTACAGAGGCCGAGATATCAATCATTCTGTAGACGTTGAGTTTCAGGAAAACTTCAGGTTTTGGAGGGTTGTTCTGAAGTCGGCCATAAGTTTTACAGGTCTGTTTTACCAGGTGTGTCAGGCCTTAATAAGTTAAAAAGTCTTACCCTCTGACGTATGGTACACCGCTTTTAAATGCAGAAAAAATAGAACTATGGTAAATATCAAAAACCTTGTGCCCATAAGGGTTCCCTAACCCATGTTAAAGTATAGGGCTGTGAAACTGTCTACCTAGTACAATTGCTACCACTCTCTGATTGGGACTGCTTTTCCTCTATATGAAAAAAAACATTCAGATCACCACCCTCTACTTTCCTGCACACCATTTTAAATGCTAAAACAGCCCTCCCTGACCTCTACAGCAACAGGAAAATCCAATATACTTTGCTCTGGCCTGCTTCTCACAGACAGAGCGCGTTTGGACACATACTGCTCGATCAATAATGGGCATTAGATGTTATTGACAAAACCGACGGAGGTTAACTGTGTGGTGTAAGTGTCTGACTGACTATTAAACCCTGTGTGCTTGTTAGGAGTAGTTTTAGATTAGTTACAAGTTTTAGATCTGACACTATTAACATGCTGTTTGAACGTTGAACTTACAAAAGGGGGCCTTGAATTGACCAAAACACTAGGATGAGAGCGATGACAGCATTTCATTAATTTAATAAAATTTTCTTCCAATGTATCTGTTCCTGGGTCACAGAGGCAGCAGTCTGAGCAATCTCATGTCTGGTTATTAGGATAATCAGGCAGATTTTGCCCTGAGTCTCCCCTTCTTAAGGACGCCTGATTACCGTGAGATAATCTTATCAGATATTCAGCCGTATGTGGTGTGTTAAGATGGCTCTCGTCTGCTCGGAAGGACGTCGGAAACCGTTACGATCTCAAATCAGAGATATTCAACTTCAACATGTTTGATTTATTTGGCCTGAGTTCTTCTTATATATGGTGTCCCGTGAGGATAAATAAGCGCGAGTTTGTTGACTGGGATGTGGAGCCAGTGGACAAAGCTGTGAGTAAACACCAGAAGGGGTGGTAAAATGAATCTGGTGCACCAGAAATACAGGACGTCAGACAACTCACCTTCTTTTCATAAGATCAAGCATAATGATCAATGCCGCTCATTTGATCAACGCCTTTTGAGTTGAAAACAAACAAAAAATATTCAACACTGCCTCTTCTACATCTACCATGTTTAAGGTCTATGAATTCACGTTTGTTGTCTTGAAATTTCCCATCTGATCAGGTGAAATAAGTTTTGTGTGTGTAATACTCGTGATTTTTCTTAACATGTGGGGAGTCTCAGAATTGGAAATCCTGCCATGTGAGGCAGTCTTTAAATAAGTTTCTAGAATGAACAAATAATACTGTCTCCCATTTGCATTCTTCTTCTAAATATATCAGCATTATGATATTTGGCTTGGCTGGAGTTCAACAGTTGGTACAACTCGAGCAACACTTTTGAGGCAGTCGTGGATATCATCATCAGAGACCATGCTCATTTTGAGGAAGCCCACGCAGAGAGACAGCAGGCTCTCAGTGATAGTAAAGCTCCACTGTGAATGTGCTGAATGGGCTCGTACCTGGTAGGTGTCCCATAGTCTGATAGTGCAGCGTAGGGGCAGCTCTCTCATCAGGAGGTTGTTCATCCAGCGGAAAGCAAACTGTAGGTACTCCACCTCGTACTGGTGCATGTGGCGGTGCACAGAATCTGACAAAACAATTTATAGTATTAAAGAACAGTAAACAACAAAATGTGTGATATGTTAAAGTTTCTTGGTTTGGTTCTGAAAAGGAAAGTGACAATATTAAAGCTGAAATGAGGATAGCGTTATCACCATCATAGATAATTACATATCAGACTGCATATTTAGGTCATGGCATCCTCTTGTAAACTGTATTTCATATTAATTCTGGCATCTAAATAGAAAATAATATGTACTCCAAATAGAGAAAAACAAGAGCTGGTTAATAAATTCAGTTATAAAACATTTGATGATATGATGGACAGCAAATTATGAAGTTATACAGTGTCTTGAAAATGTACATTGAACATTTTCATGAACACATTAAAACAAGGGGCGACAGTAGCTCAGTTGGTAGAGCATTGGCCTTTGGGCCTGAAGGTCGTGGGTTCAAGCCCACCATAAGACCTACTTCACGACTCCCACTGATGGCTGCTGTCGTTGTGTCCTTGGGCAAGACACTTAACCCCACTTTGCCTGAAGCTCCCACTGAAAGATCTCAGCTCCTGTGGACTCACCACCTGCAGGAGGATCAGTGAGGGGCTGGTGCTAAGTGTACTGGGTGCAGCTCTGACTGCCACCCCCCCGACCCAGAAATGGATTAAGGGGAAGAAAATGGATGGATGGATGGAAATTAAAACAAAATAACTTTTATAAAGAGGTAACAGTCATATAGAAAAGTGAATTACTGATTTCTTCCTCCTTATTGTACTCTTGTGAAAACAGTTTTAATAAGTATCTTTCAACCAAATATTAAAACAATATTAAACAAAGAAGGCAGTTTTGTCACAAGAAAAATACAACTGGTAATTCAAGCACTGGATTTCTGCAATAATGCCTAATAGGATCCTGGGAGCAAGATCAGTTGAGGCATAAATCAAAAGCAAAAGTTGAAATGAACAACAGATAAACTACTGTAATAAATCAGTGATTTATTAAATGAATAGAATAATGTCTGACTAGAATTACTTTTTTCTTTTGATAAAGCACTTGCACAGCTCTCTTCCTTACTCTGCTCTCACGTTCATAGCTGTATATGTACATCTAAAACCTCTATGGTGTCACAGTACCATGAAGGTGACAGACAGGCTCACTGCAGCGTCCTAGTCTTGCAGCTGCACAAAATATATAATACAATGAAACTCTGGGTCGACAAAAATCTAAACCCTGTGTGCGTCTTGTCCCGCCCTCGCAGCCTCAGTACCCTGTTGTTTTATCAAATCGCCCTGTCTGCCTCAGTCTTTACCAGTAAAGTCCTAACGTAAGATACACAACTGATACAAGGCCAAGACAAAGCACTGCTTTCGGCTCTGTAAAATAAATGTTTCCAGCTACCATTGCCATTTTCCTTAAAACGATGTTATTCATGAGCTTCTCTCACAAACGGAAGATGGATGGATCTTCCTGAATATATCATTAGAGTATATATTAATTTACTGCACTTAGCCCTTTTATTTGAAATATACAGGTCAAAAAGAAAAAAATTGAAATAATCCGGTTCATGATGAGAGATGATGGGTATTTCAAAGAAACAGATAGGCCAATGTTCTTAAAACAGATGGTATGTCGACAACAGAGCAAAAAACAATCAAATAACACAAGATAAAAGCTATGTGTGACTCATTATGGTGGTGCAATGCTCTGAAATGGCTCTGCCCCAAACTATGATAGGTTACTACCACAGTATATGAAACACATGGATCATATCTTTGGGGAATGAGTTATTCAAATTAAGGGAAGTGAAACAATTTGTATAAAATGTATTGTAAAGTAATGAATTGACATACATATTAATTGAAGATACTAACATTGTGTTAGGTCGCGTTAGGCTACGACAGCTTTAGGTTACGGCAGCTTTAGGTTACCGCAGCTTTAGGTTACGGCAGCGTTAGGTTACGACAGCGTTAGGTTACGACAGCGTTAGGTTACGACAGCGTTAGGTTACGACAGCGTTAGGTTACGCAGCGTTAGTTACGACAGCGTTAGGTTACGACAGCGTTAGGTTACGACAGCGTTAGGTTACGACAGCGTTAGGTTACGACAGCGTTAGGTTACGACAGCGTTAGGTTACGACAGCGTTAGGTTACGACAGCGTTAGGTTACGACAGCGTTAGGTTACGACAGCGTTAGGTTACGACAGCGTTAGGTTACGACAGCGTTAGGTTACGACAGCGTTAGGTTACGACAGCGTTAGGTTACGACAGCGTTAGGTTACGACAGCGTTAGGTTACGACAGCGTTAGGTTACGACAGCGTTAGGTTACGACAGCGTTAGGTTACGACAGCGTTAGGTTACGACAGCGTTAGGTTACGACAGCGTTAGGTTACGACAGCGTTAGGTTACGACAGCGTTAGGTTACGACAGCGTTAGGTTACGACAGCGTTAGGTTACGACAGCGTTAGGTTACGACAGCGTTAGGTTACGACAGCGTTAGGTTACGACAGCGTTAGGTTACGACAGCGTTAGGTTACGACAGCGTTAGGATACGACAGCGTTAGGTTACGACAGCGTTAGGTTACGACAGCGTTAGGTTACGACAGCGTTAGGTTACGACAGCGTTAGGTTACGACAGCGTTAGGTTACGACAGCGTTAGGTTACGACAGCGTTAGGTTACGACAGCGTTAGGTTACGACAGCGTTAGGGTTACGACAGCGTTAGGTTACGACAGCGTTAGGTTACGACAGCGTTAGGTTACGACAGCGTTAGGTTACGACAGCGTTAGGTTACGACAGCGTTAGGTTACGACAGCGTTAGGTTACGACAGCGTTAGGTTACGACAGCGTTAGGTTACGACAGCGTTAGGTTACGACAGCGTTAGGTTACGACAGCGTTAGGTTACGACAGCGTTAGGTTATGACAGCGTTAGGTTATGACAGCGTTAGGTTATGACAGCGTTAGGTTATAACGGCATCAGGTCTCTGCTATAACTTATTGCCGTGGGTCGTTACTTTGATTGTCACAGTCTGAGACAGTGCTGCCACATTCAGAGAGTTGTAATGTGCTTTGGGATGAAAATAGACACTCATTGGTTAAATGAAAATACAACGGAGGAAACCAGAAGGAACTTGTATTTTGGGATTACATTACTCTTTAGCGACCATGCAATAATGTGGGCAAAAGCAGAGATGTGACCTGGACCAGACACGGATATAGGACCTCTTCTATTATCTTCAGATAATTGTAAATGCACTGATTGATGTGTTTGGGATTTAATTATACATTGGCATGGACATATGTCACTACATACATTTTGTTCTGAAATCAGTGGATTTGATAAAATTGCGGTAATGTCTGTGCGTGCGCAGGTGCATGTGTTCAAGTGCAGGTGTTTACCTGTCGGTGTACGCAAAGGTGCTTGTTGCTGAAACGGCATACGTTCAGTGGTGTGATTTGCAGATTAAACAGTTCTGATCGCAATATTGGAAATTTAAGTTAATGGGGGAAAAGAACAACATTGTGGATGACACAGATTAGTAACCTCGCTTCTGTCATTTTGCTCGAGGAGAGCTGTGGCTGCAGTTTAATAGCAACTCAATAATCCCATGTGAAGCCACTTTAGATTGTTTGTATACTTACATACAAACGAGTATGCATTACGGGTGATACAATATATCATAGCTCAGTTGAAAGAATAAGGACGTTTGCACAAGCCGATTTTGACCATGAGTTAGTGCGGATATATTTGTTTACATTATCATAAACACACAGCCTTTAGCAGTAACAGCAGCAAGTTTATTCTGAGCACGCTACAAGTCCCTTTTGTGCATGTACCATTTCTACTACGAGTTTGACTTGATCATATATACACATGACTTTGGCTGACATTCACTCCTGTATGAGCTCCTGCTTGTGTCCATTTGAATGCAGAGGGCAGCTCCCTCCCTCTGGCTGACGGAGCGGGTGACAGCACGACCCAGCACCACCAAGGTTAGACACAAACACAACCATTGTATAAAATCCGACTTTGATAAGTCCTTGTTTATCCCCAAGAGTCACTGTACAAATGTAAAGAATGTGTTACAAATTAAAAATATTTCTAAAGATTAATAACTAAAGATGAATACATCTGCACTCTGGGTAAATTGATCTCTCCCTTGGTTTCCAATTTGGCCTATACAGTTCAAAAAATAAAGTTCTAAGGATTATTGAGTTATTGATCATGCCGTTGTTGACATACCGTGTTTTGATAATTGCAATATGCACATACATCAAGGAAAAATATTCCTGTTCAAGGTCTAAAAACTACAATAAAATAAACACAATCCAAATAGCCACATTTAATTGGAACTACAAAGAAAGCTTACATAAATCAAATTAACTGAAATTTACGATTTACTCTTACTGCATTGACATACTATAAAACATGTCCTGGGACCTCTCCAAACAAGAAGCGGAGGACACAAGTTTTGGAAGGGAGAAGTACTATTAATCAACATATCTATATTTAAATCAATCTTGAGAGGGAATTGAGGGCATCTTTGTCTAAAGCAGTGAACATATGATGAGAGATATACATTTTATTTCTAAAATCCCTTCAAGTGTGTTATGTTGGAGCTGTCCTAATTTGTAAACAGAAAAGTGATACAGAAACATTCAATGAAGCAAAGAGCTAAAAGCTGACAGGAAAGAATACAACCGTCTCTATACATAAATATCAGTACAAATGTATCACTTCATGAAATTTCGTACTTTTTAACCCTTATATTTTCACCTCAAACCCATGAAATCTCAATGTCAATGATGAAACACACAACAAACTAGTTTACTATGGCAAAGTAATAGTCATCAGTGTCTGGACAGTGTCAAGACGCCTTTTCCCACTCAATCTCCCAATGACGTGAGAAAAATAACATTTAGAAATTCATGAAAACTGAATTTAAATCACAATTGGTCAGCTGGATCAAGTCTGTACGGTAATGTAGGAGCAGAAAGTGCAGTGCTAATGATTAGAGTTTGATAAAGCGAGACCCTGCTCTGTTTGCATATATTAACTCTGAAACCTCTTGTATCGTACTAATAATCAACACTACGTAAACATTCTCTGTCAACAGTGGAGCTGAATAAGAATTAGCCGGGCAGGATGGTGGTGTCATGTCATTACAAACTCAACTCAAAACCTGGTAGAGAACAGAGGCGGAAAAACAAATGCTGCTTCCTGCCGTGTATCCAGCCTGACACCGCTGTTTAAGCAATCAAAAACAGTGCTAAGCTAACAGTGTGTAAAGGGAAGACTCCTCATCAAAACTACTTTCTTTTGCTTCATTTGCGGGAGGAGACTAATCAAAACAGTGGTGGCCAAACAGTGTTTTATAAATATACCATCATCCAGTCAGTATAATAAGAGGAAGTATATAAAGAAGAAGAAAAAAAGAAGAAAAGGTTCAATCATTTGAAAGTGGGAAAGAGGGCCCACTGCGTCAAACAATGAGAGAATGCAATGACTCGCAGCCATGAAATATTCATACATGCAAAAGTGTGCAAAATCATATTTTCAGATCCGTTCATTCCGAATTCGGTTGCTTTTTTATACACTACTTACACACCAGAGGGGAAAGACTCTGTTATGAGCTCAAAGAAAGTGGAAAAACCCGGTAACATATTACTGTGCAGAAGTAGAGAGTTCAAATGTACTTAAATGTTGAAAAGTTGAACACAAGGAAAATACTTTCTGATTGTATAAAGTAATACTTACTTAATACTGAATCTGCTATATCAATGTATCGACTATTTAGGCACTATGAAATATGGGCCAGAACATTGTTATTTTTGGAGGTTAGTGTACCGTCAATTCTGCTGACCAGCTCCTCCAGTGCCTTCACTTTCTTCTGGATCCCAGGCTGTGCAAACGTGTAGTTGTCCTGGAAAGAAGACATAAAATCACAAAGGTATAGTTCAGATCAGTAGACGGGAAAACAACCTTATATTGAAAAGCAGAGTGTGGATTTGGGCTTCAATATGAATAGAGCTGGTGAAAATAAAGCTCTCATGGCACAAAGACAGTCCAAGTTTGAGGTCAAGGGATTGAGTTTATTATTTTATATGTGCACACACGCTGCCAAGGACAAGAGAGGGTTTGAGGTAATACCGGTATAACTGTGAGGGACGACGTGAAACTGAATTATCACGGTGGATACACAGATTGAGCCCTTAACATGAATAATGTTGAAGAAATCATAAATCAGCCCATATAAATGATGAAATAGTATATATGTTCTCTTTGATTAGTAAATATTAGATACATTTTAAGGTTTTTTATAACTATTATATTTAGTACACTATATCCCGTTTGGTAGATAATTGTAGTTTTCATATTGTATGGTGTGAACTGAATAGAAATGCTTCCTCTTTTGATTTGAACAATAAATAGATTGATTAGAACGTGAGGGCTACAATCCAGGTTTGTAAAGTAAGAATTTTTCCAGCAATTTATATTATCCCATTTCCATATGATATCGTTTTTATTTTTTTTAGGCATAGAAAATAGGAAGTATGAGAGGAAACAGCCTCAGTCTGCTGTGTTAAACAAAACACAAAACAAAAAAATAATGCATGTGCACGGGTACAAGCATTTGGCGCCTCTCATGCAAGATTAACGTATAGAGGCGCAAACATGACAGATAGCTAAGGCTGGGTCATGTGACAAAACCAGCAATTAATAAGGGTCTGTGCAACAGCATCTCCTCACTGATCAAACCGCTAACTGGCTCTTCTAGAGGAGGTTGAAAACTAGGACTATGTATTGATTGTGTTGATGTTATGGCGGCCTCCTGTTTGTGCTGATCCTGAAGGACAAACCTGGCCAGCGACATTATTTTTCTTTCACCCTTCTTTCACTCTTTCTCCTTCTCATTTTCTCTGCCACTCTCTCCATCTGTTAGCTACAGTTTGCCACTTCAGCTGTTCTGAAGCCACTCTGAAATGACCCCTCAAGGAAACTTAATCCTTGTGGTGGGTGCGCATTTAGATAATTACACACACAAAGTCACTAAAATGCTTAGGTGTTGTTTGCTCTCGGATTGTATTCTGCCCAACTCAACTCCTATCATTCAGCTGCTGTTGGGGTTGTCATGACCCAAAAGATCTCAACACATAACGCTGTAAATAATATGCAATTCAAATATTAAAAAATGTATCCACAGTGAACCAATCGGAAAACATGGAAGTATTTGTCAAACCAAGCATCTAACCAATCCCCAAATGCTCCTTCAATATTGTCACAATACATTTCAATTATATCCATTTTGACTTTTGAATGTCAAATATTGTTATCAAGAAAATGTAATCTTTGCTGTACATTCTAGGCCCAAACCAAGAGATATAAAAGAGGACATTTAATGACACTGAATTATAACAAGATACATACAGACATAACAGAAAATATCATACCCCAAGGAGAGATGGTTGGAGAGAGGGAGAGAACCCTGGAGGCTTGGGGCCTCAGCATTAGGCCTACATGTTGCATAGAGAGTTCACACCGACCAAGAGCCCAAACTAGTCCATCCCAGCTATCTATATACTGGCTGTGAGGTTACTCCCAGGTTCCACTGGATTGGTCAGGGGGGTCAGCCAGGAGCAAGCCATCCCCCATGGAGGGGGGACATGGACATCAGATAAGGGGGTAAATCCATACCAACAAATATACAATTAAATTCTTTTCACATTTTTTCTACTGGGCCTTGCAGGCTCTCGGGCCCTGTTGTGGGCTCTCTGCCTCCATCAGCAGTGTTAATGTGGTTAGGTGCGATGCAGTGTGCAGTTCACTGCCAGTAATTACATTTGCATTATTGAAGCTGCTGGCTTTAATCAACCACCCTTTGCAACAATTTTCCCCACTCGCTCAAAAGCTTTCCCTATTGCAGTCTTTTGGAATAACGTCACATTTCTGTTTAAAATGTATTTTTGAACAAAGCCCATTTAATTACCCATTTGCGCAAAATTCACCTCTGGCTGGTATTTCAAATATTTACAGTATCCATTTATACCTGAATTGAGAATGTAAAATGGAAGGATGTGTTCTATAATACATTTAAAAAAGGAAGGATATCAAATTCATATTTAATTTGACTTTATCCTACTAATAATTCATTTATTATTTTTTTTCGTGCCACTCTGTGTTGCTGTTCTTTCAAAATCAGTTACCCACAAACCCTCCTCGCTTTTCTATGCAGTCAACTATAATTTTACCTTCGCAAACAATGTCAGTAGTGTGTTCATGGAAGGCTACAAAAAACATGGCATTGCTTTTGACATAAGAATGTGGAACATACATCTAACATAATGAAACTAATGCTCACAGTTAAAATTCCGTGTTTTAACTGCGCAATGCCGGGGATCTATGTGAGTGGGTTGCCCCTGGCTGTTTGGTGCTATCCAGCTGCCACTGCTCCCGTCAGGTTGCTCAATTGGCATTGAAGGAAGGGTCAAATAAAGAAAGGACACATTTCACTGCAAAAACAATAAAGCACACCTTGTTTATGTAAAGTATAGTAAACGGCGATAGGCCCTCCTCTATCCGTATACCAACATTACAATTGCACAAAGCTTTAACTTTGTCCACCGTGGTGAGTCTTACTAACATATTCAATCAGTTAGCGCCTTTTCCAATAAAACGTTCAAAACCACATCCACTTGTTAGCCTCCTCACTTTCCCTGCTGCTGTTCCTTTTATGTCTCGCCACATTTTCCAATTTTCACCCCTCTTGCTTTACACCCTCCTTCATTGACAGCCTTTCTTTTGTCGAATCCAATATGTCAGATCTTTGATCAGCTGAGGCAACTGGAAGAAATCAACCGCTGCTTCATTATTCATCCCTGCTCTCTTCATGGCCATCTGCCCATCTACCAAATCTGACCATAGCTGCATTCTAACTATTGTGATTCGATCTGGCCTAAAAATAGAATATTGAACATGTTTCATAACTTCAAAATGATGTCTCTGGATTCAAATACTAGGAAACAATTCCCAGCTAGGACTTGAAATATAATTCAACAATTACTCCTATTGTGTTCATAACATTCTATAATATTTTGCCCATAAGTTAAACTGCTATTTCTTGTTTTATGTTTTGACCATTATAATCTATTCCAGCAGCATTTTATATAACTTGCACCAACAATGTCACAAAAACTTGGCTTTGCTGAAAATCCCACCTTGGGCCTTTCTGCCGAAAAGGTGTCGACAGCTTTTGTTCACACAATCGCCTTGTAGCTCCTCCTTTGGCCATCGGCTGAATCAATAGCTCCTCTTCACCTCTCTTTCCATTCTATTAGTGACCACAATGGGTCGACGTAGGACTAAGATTGCCAGCTTTTGTGGCATTGGATGTCTATCAACTGCTTGGACTCAGACAGCAATGTTGTGGAGCAAAAAGAAGCCATGTAAAGGTGGGTGCAGGTTAGCGGGACGGAGGAAGTGGAGAGTAGAGGATGAGATGACAAGGAAAGATAAAAGCTGAAAAATAATGGCTGCCCACAGTTGTATAGGACTTTGGAAGGGCAATCCAACAACGTGTCCACTTTATCTGTGCATATTTACAGTTTGTGTGGGTTAATATAATGACAGGGGCACACAAGGACAGGTCAAGTGCAGACGTTTGAGTATGAATCAGTAGGTTTAACTGTCTTCAGCTACTTAACACAGTACATGATGAGGAATGAGAAAAACAATAGTAAAGACATAATTATACAAATTACTATAATGTAGCAAAATACAAGGGTTAATTTCTAGAGGATCATCCATCACACATCAACACATATTTTAAACGTTACAGATGTAGTAACTGAAATGTAAACCTCTAAACTGGTTCCCTTTGGACCAAGCCTCATCTAATTTCTCGGGGGACAAATGCTTCCAGATCTGTTTCATAGAATTGACTTAAGTGACTAATGGATACAAGTATACTTATTTGGTGGTTTTAACATTCACAAATACAGACTTTTTACTGAAGTGAACCACCACTAATGTCCCTGTTTTTTCACAAGCTTTTGCAATAAGGTTAACAAGAATCTTGACTAATTTGGAAAACAAAAAAACAAATACCACCACAACATTGCAAGTTGAAAACCAGAAGCCAATTCAATCCACTCCGCAGCCACTCATCAGTCAAAATATGTTTTCCAAATTTAATTCCTCAGTTTCAAATATGTAATGAAGGACTTAAATTGATTGTTTTCAGATTTTCCTATTCCTCTTACAAATGGACCAGCTGGGCTTCCTCTGTAACTATCGGGAAAGAAATAGCATGCTAGAGTGAATGACGGTATAAGATGACACTAAAAACCTCTTGGGAACCAGGAACAGGCCTAAACGTCTGCTTTGGTCTAGCTACCTTCTGCGAGACATTTCTTCCTGGACCCATGCACCCACTCCAGGGATACACCATCACTATCTGGCACCCAGCAAACAGATGGCTGCCTTGACAATGAGCAGACACACTTGGATTGGCTCATAGTGTGGCTCAGACAAGAAGGCACAAGGGAGTCTGAATGTTTAGTTATTTTGTTGGCAAATTAAGTACAGCAGTTCATGTAGTAAGTCAGTGCAGACATGATGGAGTGTCTAAGGAGCATTTTTTTGTGTAATTTTATTAAATAGTACAAATATTTAATTTAAGCTTTTTCAAGTATGGCTGTGAATGTTTGTCAATATTTGAATAATTCCAAATTGTGTCCTTGGGTAAGACACTTAACCCAACTTTGCCTGAAGCCCCAGCTGAAAGATCAAGGCTAGGCTCTCACTGACTGAGCAGCAATCCTCCTGTGGACTCACCACCTGCAGGAGGATCAGTGAGGGGCTGGCATGGATCTGTAATTATATCTGGATAAGGTATTTCTAGCTTATAGCTGTCCCACCCATGGG